CCAACTTTGACTTCGCGTGGCGCTGTAACACAGCAAGGACAGCGTTCCGGGAAGAATCATCTCGATCTCGTGTTTGGAAATGCAATCAAGTTACTCAAAGTTCTAATCTCATGTTTAGCTGATAAAGGACCACATATAAGCTGCACACCAAAGTGGATACTCCATTTTTACTCAACCTACTCGTTGTAAGCAGCTTCTTGCAGATTTGGTTGTAGCAGAAACAACAGCTTGATTACAGCACTCAAATCGATACAATCGTTGTGATACATACGATGTCGAAAGAGAATATTCGAAAGAGACGCAAAAGCGCCGAAAAAGTTGGATCCACGGAGAAGAAGAAAGGAAAGAGGCCCGAAAAGAGCAAAAGTAGAGAAAGTGTTCAAAAGATCACATCAGCGGAGAAGGCGAACCTCTCAGCTGAAGTACCAGAAACTAGTAAGGATGTAGAAAAAAGTCGACCTCAAGGTTTTCTAAGCATGCTTAAATCCTTGCGCATAAAAAAGAAAAAACGTGCAGAAAAAACAGGGTCCGATGAAAAGACCCCGGAAAAAGCAGATGCTGGCACAGACAGTGAATCCCAAGAAAAAGGTGCTCATCGCTTCAAACATATGTTGTCCTCAATTTGGGATAGAAGCAAAGCTAAAGCAGCAGAAAAAGGAGAGAATGTAGAAAGTGCAGAAGAGAAGCAACGAACTGATAGTGCCGACAAAACGAGTCGGAAAACATCAAGTGTTAGTACCCCGGAGAAGACTACTCAAACAATTTCAAAAACCGACACGGAAGACAAAGAGAAATTTCAGTCTGGATTGATATCTTCGGAGAAAACAGCGCGAAAGAAGTTGGAGAAGGATGCACAGAGAGATGCGACAGAAAGAGCTGTAGAAGTGAACGGATTGAAGACTATGAGGCTTCCGGAGAAGTCATTGATGAGCAAACCAAAAGCAGAAAAATCGAGATCGCTGGTGAGTAGCATTAGAAAGAATTGTGTAACTACGATTTGACGTAGAACAAACTATCGTTAACCCCGACCCCCAGTCCTATTCTTTTTGTTTACCAATGTACTCTTCAGTAGTTCAGACGTGCGGTAGCGTGATCTATGGAACTGGACAGCACGAATCTACTACCACGACAGAATCAGCGGCATCTTGCTTAGAT